ATAGATAGATAGATAGATAGATAGATAGATAGATAGATAGATAGATAGATAAAACAGAAGAATATTTACAAGAGAGAAAACAACATCCATCACGGATGCTGTGATGATTGTTGATCATTTGTAAACCTCACTTCCAACATGGTTTCCAGCAGCGAGGCCTTTATTGTCATCTACACAACAGTCTGCCCTCATTTTATCTCTAAAGAAGTTTGGTTTTTTTCCCAGGAGACATGATGTATCATACCCTAGAAATACCTGAGCTCTTTGCCAGGTTAATTGCTTGTTTAATTGTATTGTCCATGTGAGCTATAAGATGTCTCTATCCTATATCTTTATTTTTTATGTATTCATTTATTTTTAGGAGCACCTGAAAGCTTTTGACCGGGAAGTAAATGCATTTGTGGACTATATGTTTGGACCTCGAGGTAAGCTGCTCCACCTACAGTCCTTTTGGGAAACCTTGCCCATCCAGATTACCACTCAAATATTCTGATAGTTAGAAACACTCAACAGCCAACGTTTTCTCTCTGAATAGTTTGTAAAATTGAAAAATATGAACTAGGCAGAATCATGAAATATTCCTAGGCAGGAAAATAACACTGTTGTAGGAATTCTGTCAAAGCTCTGCACTTATAGAAAGCCAATTCATTTCTTGCTTTGATTGTTTGACGTATTACCTGTAACACAAATTAAAACCAGTCACATCATACTGCAGATGAAAAAAGAAATGAAACATTTTTTTTCAAGCTTGCAAATATCACTAATTTTTAGAGTCCGTTGTTTCTGAAAATATAATAAGATTTCAGCTTTACATCTCAGTATAAATTTAAAAAATGAAAACTTTGATTTTTCTGAAAGTGGAAGTTCTGTTCTTGGGGGAATGACACTCAGTAATCTAGGCATCGTTTGGCCCATCTACCAAACAAAAGCATAGTTCAGAAGGATGCTCAGCACAGCAGCAATAAAGCACTTTTAGCACTTTGCAGGATCACACCCACAATTTCAATAACCTGATAGATGGTGTGCAAGAACAGGTGCATCTTTTGATGCTGAGAATAACCTGAATTACCATAGTGCTTGTTTAGCAGAACTTGGAGGTGCCTAGTTTCAGTCCTAAGAGAGCACAGGTAACAGCCGTAACAACAGTTAGAGCCAGGGACAAAAATAATGAAGTAGGACTGCAGAAAGAAAGAGAAGGGCTACTGCAAGGTGAGGATGGAAATGTCAAAAATCAGGATTAAGATTAGAACAGGGCCAAGCAACTAAAGTGAAAAGCAAGAGAAGAGTTTAGACAGCAGACCCAGCCATCAGGGAAGGCTCTTGTGAGGCAATCTGCTGCTGGTAGGCCTGGTTTTCAGGGTGTCCAATTTCAGGAACAGTGCTTAAAGCCAAAATTGCTGCTGGTGGGGATGGATGATATGTTCTCATTTTGTTACAGTAGTATTCTCTAAATTGCAGAAACAGTTCTTGCTTATTTAGGAGGAGAAGGGAAAGAAAACTGTAACATTCTTAAAACCAATAAATTCTCTTTCTTTTTTTTTTTTTTTTGCTGTCTGGCTGAGTACAAAATGTTTTCCATCCTTTCTGCTGTAGATGCAGAGCTTGAAAGAAAGCTTTCTAGTGAATAAACAACAGCTTGGGAACCGCAGCAGAAGCAATTAAACAAACTCATTCTATCTGCCTTAATTAACAGCCTCTACAGTAATGTATTTTAATAGTATCAAAAACCAAAACCTGATTATTAGCATAAAAGTACTGCTGTTGTTTTTTTTTAATGGGAGTGGAATTCTCCACCACTTCTCTTTCCTCACTGGTTCAGAATACATTTTTTTGAAGGGGCAAGTTGTAGTCAGTCCAACACAGAGTCCAACACAGATCTCTTTGGATTTTTACAAAGCACTTCAGTTGTGTACCATCTGTAATACTTGCCAAGTACATCACCATCATCACCATCCCTCTCCAGACATAAATGCTGAAGATAGCGTTTGTTTCTCCATGCCTCTTCACCATGCTCTTTTATTTGGAACTGGTTGTGTAATGATGCTGCATCACGCATTTCAGGTGTAAGAAAGCTTCCTCCAAAATGTTTACACCCATAAATCATTCACAGTCATACGCAAACTGTTTTAAATCGGATAGAATGGCCCCGCAAACCAAAATCTAATGAATTCTTGGGAGAGTTTTCCCAGTTGTCTAAAAGCAACAAGTGATCCCCCTTCTTTCTCTGCACGAGTTTTCATATACTATACCCACTTCATTCGGCAACAAGACAGCTTACAAATAAACATCAGTGCTCTATTCTTTTCAAATCGGTCCCATATATGTGGCCTATATTTTAGGTAGCAACTCTTGAAATAGGAGAATCACTACACTGGCTATAGTTATCATTACTTGATGCCAAATTAGGGACAAAACCAGGCATGAGTTCCTGGATGCAATCTTTGCTCACAGTTGTAGTTACCAGATTAACACAAACTGCAGTACTGCACAATTAGAACAAGGGGTGTGCTGTCAAAGATACAAATTTGATTGAGATGAAGGTCTCTTTTGTGCTTGTGCTTTTCACTGCCAGCTGGACTTTGCACACAGATTTAGATCAAATTTACATTTGACCTTACAGACCAAGTCCTTTGGATCAGGGAACAGAAGATGCATACATACTTATCAGTTGCATCTCTTGATAAGAAGTGGTCTTACAAATTGATTTTTGTCCATGTTACCCTGGATGGACTATCTATACAGAAGACAAAATGATTAAGAGTGAAAAAAGCATGTTGCTCTGGAAAAAAAAAAAACTTTTTTCAGGGCCTTCATGTTCTACTGATATTATTTAGCATTACACAAAGCAACACTGAGTTGTAGGACCCAAATCTAGTTAATGGGTTGCTTTTTTTAATCTGTCAAAGAAGCAAAAGAATAGACATGTTTTAACAAAGTAGGATAAAGTAGTGAGCGCTCTCTCTACTCAACTGAATATAAACACTAGTAAAGCATTGCTGCAGAACCATCTACCCTCAGCATCTGAAAAGATCAGAATCTACTCACACAACAGCTGGCCAAAGCTATGCAGTGACCTCAATCAAAACGTTTCTCAGCCTCACTGATAAAAGACCGATAGGTCTAAAGAGCCTGGGAGGCTTGCCACTCATTTCAAAGGAGCCAAGATTTCGCCCCAAAAGCCTGGCACATCGTGGCCAGTGGCTGTGAATGAGCTTATTCACAGAACAGCCAGCTTGGGTGCGCCTGCTCCTACTCGTGTTGTCATCCAGCATTTTCACACTGTGGTTTTATTCACTGCAGTAGTCTCAAATTCAGATAATGGATGGGTTCAACAGTGTAAAAATAATGCTTCCTCTCATTGACACTGTATTCCTTGAACATAGAGTAACCTACTGCCAGTCAATATAAATACTCCAGCTTTTTGTTTTGTTTTGTTTTTTAATACAGTCCCTTTCCTTTGCCTTCCCACCACTTAAAAATCTCCCACTTTTGTGATTCAAAGACACGGAAACAAAACGATTAGGATTTTCTGGCTGCTTTTTACTGATAACTATCTTACCCTTCAAGGTACCAAGGTCAAGTAGGAAAACTATCAGTAAGGAAACTGGTTTTAACAATTTCTCTAGACACCTGAAAATGAAACAGATCATAAACTTGTCATGCTGACCTGAGCAAACACGAGCAGTTTTGATTTTGTATGGATCAGGCCACATGGTTGTGGCCACTCA